TAGATTTTCAGTACAAATCGGCAATTTCATACTTTAACCCCTATTATTAGCCGTTTATATAGATGACATTCTATTTTCTACAACAATGAGAGGGAGATGCAGAATGTTAAGGAAGAATTAAAAACAAAATTCGAAACGAAGGATCTATAAAGTATTGAACTATTTCTTGGGATAGAGCTTCAACAAGAAAAAGGTTGCATTAAAATCAAACAAGAGAGTTACATTGAAAAGCTTCTTCACAGGTTCAAGATGGAAAATTGCAAGGCAGTTAGTACACCAGCAGCTCCTGGACAACGATTTGAAAAAGGGAAAGAGTGTACAAATGAAAACTTAGCCTACCTCTGTAGGCTAAGTTTTCATTTTCTATATATATCAGCTGATAGGGGCACTGATGTATATAGCTATATGTTTAAGGCCAGATATAGCGCATGCAGTAAACTTCATGAGTCAATTCTGCAATTGTTATGATGAAGTGCTCTGAATCGCAGCTAAAAGGATCTTGAATACTTAAAGGGTACCAAGAACATAGGACTTGTATACTCTAAAGATGTATCTTGTAGGAATATTCAAGGTTTTGCAGATGCTGAATACGCTGGAAATATAATAGACAGAAGGTCACACTCCGGCAATGTATTTAAGATGGCAAGTAGAGCCATCTACAAAAGAAGCCATATTTCTACAGCGATTTCTGAATGAAATCACGAGCAATGAGGAGTTGCTTATCACGATACATACAGATAGTCAATCTGCTATGGCAATAGCTCTAAATCCAGTGCAACATCAGCAGACAAAACATGTTTCATTTCAGTCAGTACGCGGGGCATTCAATATCATCATAGATTGAATAGCACAGGCAGAATACCGCAAAGTGAAAGAAAATTTTTTTTTGCAAGACTGATTAATGTTGAATCTCATTAAAATAAATAAACGATTTAAGGCATCCAATTTTATAATTTGCTTTACATTTTACATGCTGTTTACATTCACAACAAACGTAATAGATGATTACATTTTGAGTTTCCTAATTCTTTATTATATTTTTAAAAGATGTGTTTGTAATAAATTATGATAACTCGAAATGTGGGGAATATAAACTTTGTTCTTCCCAAATATGGGGATTTTAACCGTGATTTTTGGGGATTTTGAACAATTGGCATTGGCAACGCTGGTTGTGTTACTAAAATGTCAAATTTCTGCCACAAGTATTAGAAGAAATAAAGGACCTTTGTATAGATGACAGTGATATTCGAAAAAACATTCAATCGTTACTCTTAAGAAAAAACTTATTTAAACCAATATGTGACTTTATATCTAACACTGTGAACGAAATTTAAAGTGTTTTCGTTTTACTTTCTAAGTGTTATATTTTCGTTATGAAAGTTATTATTTCTGAGCCGTGAAAAACCAAAAAAAAAAACTAAAATGTCACTATAAACACAAACTATAAATTAGAAAAATATATTAACATTGAAAGAAAAAAGTTTTATTTATAAGATAGGAAAAAAAAAATTGACGATTTGGCTTGATCATTTATTCCGATGCCGTAAAACTAATATTAAAAAAAAATATATATATATATTATCAAATGTCACTTCATTTTATTAGCGTCAGTGGGGTTTATGTTGGCGTTTCTTTCGTTCTTGACAAAAACTTATTATTATCTTAGTCAAATAGCTAAATTTCATCTTTAGACCTAAAGATGAATCGGCGGAGAGCGTATGATGAGGAGGACGGGTATGGTTAGTATTTGTATAAGATTTCATAGGTTATACATTCTGGATCCGTAGATCCAGTGTCAACTGATATTTCATGATTTTAGAGCGATTGCACCGAAAGAGACGTCGTGTATCTGAGAACCAAGAGATAGAGGATCGTTTGGAATCATTGATTCTAAGAGTTGGCGAAAAAAGCAGTTCCAGTTTGGAAAGTAACCTAGAAGGTCTAGCCAGCGTTCTTGAAGCTGATTTGAGCACATTTCGCGTCAAGATACTTCGTATCCTAACAGAATGTGCCATTCGAATGCCGGAAAAATGTACTATCTATGCTACACTGGTTGGTTTACTGAATGCCAAAAACTACAACTTCGGCGGTGAATTCGTTGACTATATTGTGAAGACTTTCAAGGAAAATTTGAAAATTGGTAAATGGAACGCAGCCCGGTATTGCCTTCGTTTTATATCTGACTTGGTAAATTGCCATGTGCTGGCTGCATCATCTCTTTTGACTCTTCTTGAAACATTGGTAGATTGTGCCAATGAGGATGGAGTACCGCAAGTTAGAAGAGACTGGTTTGTTTTTGCTGTACTATCCACCCTTCCTTGGGTGGGTCGAGAGCTGTATGAGAAGAAGGAATCTCAACTTGACCACTTACTTGTAACCATTGAAGTATTCCTCAACAAGAGAAGCAAGAAACACTGGCCAGCCTTAAAAGTCTGGTCTGCAGACACTCCTCATCCACAGGAGGAGCACCTAGATTGCCTCTGGGCACAGATTAAGAAGTTAAGGCAGGATAATTGGTCAGAGAAGCATATCCCGAGGCCTTACCTGGCCTTTGATTCTGTTCTTTGTGAAGCTTTGCAGCATACACTACCAAGTATTCAGGTAAATATTATGTATCATAATTATATTTTATATTGTCACTAGCTGACAACTGCATAAAATTCTAAAGCAATCACTCAATAAATTGAATAAGTAACACTTTCACATATATTTCGACTTGATATATCATAACTTTTTCCAACAATATTCATTTGAATAGCATCGTAAAATCGTATTTGAAAAATGGTAGTGTAAAAGTGAGGTTATTATTCACCTATACTTCTATGACATGCTTATGGTTGCATAGTGCTGTTTGAAAAAAAACATTCCGTTCAATCAATTAAAGTTTAGTAATCGATTATTAAATAGAACATTACAATCGCAATCGATGAGTATCTTAATGTAAGGATTTGAAGGAGGATTTAAATTGAAATTTTAAATATGCTTATTTAGGTTATGTAAGGACAACCGCTAGTATGACTCAATTGAACAAATTGATTCATTCAATTAATTAATCAATTTGTAGTTGGCATTACCATTCGCCATCACTAAACCGTATATGGTCACATCAGTGACTTGTTTGTTTACTTTTTGTTAAATATTGATTGAAACGAAGTATAGTATTATTTTTTATTTTACAAGCATCCAATAAGAAATATGTTTTAAAGCAAATTGTGACATTCTTGAACAAAATGTTTATTAATTCCACAAAATACACACACTGGTGAACGAAGCGAGCATAATATACACGTACTAATTCATTGTGTAAATTGTTGCAAAATTATTCTATTTAGACTTACTTTGTTAACCAACTTCAAAAAAAGGAGGAGAGAAAAATTGTTGAATCATCAATTTGTATGTATTTTTGAACCAATTTTGTGGTAAACTAAGGGAAAGAATCTGGTTTCGCGCACTTTCCAGTAACCAATGTCAATAAAACTTGGCAAAAATATGTAAATTCCATGATTTTTGAGGTTTTTTTTTTTTTATAAAAAAGTTATATAAAACATTATCATTGACATTAACATCACCAAAACACTTCCGTGACCGTCAGGATGGTTGGCGCCCGTCGCATCTGGCACTGAGTGTATATTCAAGAATTGCTACCTATTTGCTACTATTTGCTACCTTTTCTAAATAATTGCTACCTTCAATATATTATGAGAAATTAAAAAAAATATTGACCAGCCATTTTTTCAGCATGAAGGGAGCAGATTTTCCAGAAGTATGTATTACCAATAATTGCTACCTATTTGCTACTTTCACGAATTAAAGGTACACGCTTCTTATCTACATATGTTAATAAAATTTAACCAATTAAAAATTTTACGAAGAAGTGCCTGATTAAAATAAAAAAGCAAAAGTTTTTTTTTTGTTTGTTGTTTTTTTTGTTGTTGGCTCTACTTTGTAAAATTTTCAATCATTTATGTTTTTTTAACTAATGTAGATAGGAAGAATATACCATTAATTCGTGAAAGTAGCAAATAGGTAGTAATTATTGGTAATACATACTTCTGGAAAATCTGCTCCCTTCATGCTGAACAAAGTGGCGACCAACCATCCTGACGTCAGAATGGCTGGTCAATTAGTTAGAGAAGGTAGCAAACAGGTAGTAATTCTCGAATATACACTCCAGTGCCAGATGCGACATGCGACCAGCCATCCTGACGGTCACAGCACTAACAACGTGTCTTGCAAAGGATATTTTGTAATGTACAAATCTCAGTCAGTTTAGAAAAAAATTATGATCATCTTTTAAATTATAATCTTATAAATTGAGCGTAATACTCCACTAATTATTAATATTTCAGCCTCCACCACACAATGACGGTGATACATATCCAATGCCGCGTGTTATATTCCGAATGTTTGATTACACCGACTGTCCTGATGGCCCTGTTTTGCCAGGAGCTCACTCTGTTGAAAGATTCCTCATTGAAGAACATCTCCACAACATTGTTGAAGCATATCACTTAGAACGGAAAGAATGTGCTGCACAACTACTCTGTTTTCCTTACAAAGGAAAGATACCATTGGAATATTGCATTGTAGAAGTCATATTTGCAGAATTATTCAACCTGCCTAGACCGCGGTATTTGGAAATTTGTTATGGATCTATACTGATTGAGCTGTGCAAATTGCAACCGTCTACAATACCTCAAGTGTTGGCTCAAGCAACTGAGATCCTTTTTATGAGATGTGATACTATGAATATTGCTTGTTTTGACAGGTTAGTATATCCAAGTATCATTTTATACAATGTTGTGATATGATTAGAAATTAAAATAATTGTTTATTCAAAATCGCGATTGCTTACTTAGCTTACTTATTCAGCTAACTATTTTATTTTTGTTCTGAATTTAGTCTAATAAAAATATTTAATATCAAAAGGATGTAGGTAGTAATTGTCTACATTATTTTCTGTCCTTTCAGATTTGTGAACTGGTTTGCTTACCATTTGAGTAACTTCCAGTATAGATGGACTTGGGAGGATTGGGAGACAGCAACGCAACTCGACCCTGACCATCCTAAACCTAGGTTCATCAGAGAAGTGCTCCACAAGTGTCTAAGGTTTGAGCTCCCTTTAAATTTTTGGATTATTAATGAATACATATTTTGTTATACACGCGTGTTACACGCGGGAAATATACATATAAATTACTGTTTTTGCAGATTGTCTTATCACACAAGAATTAAAGACATGATGCCAGATTCCTTTGCTGCATTTGTGCCTCTCAAACCAGAACCCATCTACAAGTATTCTATGGAGGGAGCAGGTATGAAAACACTAAAAAAATTGTATTTATTTATTATTAGTTATTGTAGTTATAAAAATTTTATTTCCACCTTATGTCTACACTAAACTAGGCACTGAAATATTTACACACGGGTAACATAAAAGTCTTATTAAATCTATAGGAAATGTGCATGTTGAATGAACAAGAGGATTTTTTTTAAATAAATAAATGCTTTAAAATTATTTGTATTGTAAACTCAATGACAGACCGAGTTAATGGCGGACCTTGATATATTTAGCACTTATTTGCGACATGCTAGGAAGCATGAGTCCTTTTTCATTGACAACAAAACTCTTGGGGAATTAGTGAGTGAGATCAATGCAGGAGTTAATTTAAAGCTGTGTTGTATATTAAGTTGCTAAGAATTAATCTACTCCATAGCTAATAGTTCTAGTAGACCATAGGGTCGGTCGCGATAATCATCATCAGCATCAGTATGCCTTTGTCTGGGGGCCCCTTGGTGTTCCCATTTGTCAATAGGTGATTCGTCGTCATCGTCTAGACTAAGACTTGAGTCGACGTCATCGTCTTCGTATTCGTCGTGATTTGCATGTTTTCGATCCTTGTCGAGTGAATCCAAGAAGTCTTGTAAATCGTCATCTAGTTTGACGAAATGTGACTGATTTTCACTGTCTTGCTGATCGAAATCAGCTAATCTAGGATTTTTCGCAGATGGGGCATCATTACTAGTCAAGCTTTGTATTAGTTCTTCCAGAATACCAGATGTCGATTCGCTTCGAGAATTGTTATCTTCTAATACTGTCTTTTTATCGGTACTGTTATCTGATTCAAGTACATTTGGTGAAACTACAATTGGTAAATCTGTGGTCGATGAGTCAAGAAGTTTTTTCTTTTGACATTTTGTTAAATTTTTCTGCATGGTTTGTGTTGTGGTTATCTGTTCTGTTGTATAAGAGTCAACTTCAAATATTTCATTATTTTCGCTTGACTCGTCGCTGCGCGTTGAAGACGATGATTGACTGACAATGAATTCTCTTTGTTCATTGTCGTCTCCTTCATTGTTTTGGTCGTCCTCAACATCGTCGATATCGTCATTCTCGGCATCAACGTCCTCATTATTTTCATCGAGTTCTTCTTTTTTATATTGTGATGACATTGAATCTCTGCTTACGTGTTCTTCATAATGAGGCGTTGTACTTAGAGGTTGCACACTTAGAGACATGTTCTTATCATCATGGAGCAAATTATGTTTTCTGTCGTTAAGTTTATTTGATGGTGTTACGTGGCTCTGGAAATTAGACCCTTTCCTTCGTGGTGGAAATGCGCTCGGTAACGTCGATAGTGTTTTAGTCGATATACCTAATGAACTCCACTTGTCATGATTAACAGATGTACCTTTATGTAATAATGTGGATTGTCGGAATCGGTTTGTAATTTTTGGTTGTGGTGTAAAGGAAGATGCGTCAATTTTTTCTGTCGTCGGTGTTTCGGTGGAAGTAGGTTTAGTGGTTGTTTTTGTTATGCTGTATATGGGACTGGTGGAATTTGGAGTTGTCGATGTGTTGTTGATTTTTGTTGTCGTCCTTTCCGTAGTACTTCTGGCTGGGTTCATCGTAGCTGCTGAACTTGCTTGTGGCGTCAAGTCGAGTGTTGTTTTGTGTTTTTCTGGTGATTGCGTTGTTGTTGTCGTTGTAACTCGTTTATGCTTTTTTACTTTATCAGGTTGAGTAAATTTTGGTGGTGGACGTGTTCGTTTTCTTGGCTTAACCGTAGTAGATGTTGTGGTTGATGTCGTTTCCTCCTCCACCTCCACCGCTTCTGTGGAAATTGAGGTACGTCTCCTCGTAACTGTTGATGTTTCTGTAGTAGACGATGAGTTGTGGGTAGAACTTTCTGTGGTTTCAGCTTTCTCTTTTTGAGAAGCCATGGGAGTAGTTTTAGAGAAGGCATTCATCAAATTGGCCCATGTGATGTCAGGCTCAGCCTCTCCCTCAAAATTGGCATTTCCCGTTATTATATCCGGTGTATTAGTAGTCAACTGTGACTTTATATTTTCATGTTTTTTTGGCGGTTTTTTACTTTTTGTATAATTTTTTTGGGTCGGAGTAATAACAGTAGTGCTAGATGTGGTGTTCCTTTCAGTGTGTTTAGTGTGCTCAGTTGTACTAGGAGTGTTAGTAGTGTCCTTATAATTCCACGTGATGGGCCTAAACGCAGTTTCCTTAAATGGATCTGGTTCAGAAAATTGTTGCATATCTAAAACTTGGGGACTTGGGCGGAAGTCTGTCGGTCTAGATATCTTATAAGGCTTCACTTTAAGCTTAAGTGGCGGCATTGGCTTAAATGGTTTTTTGTCCATTGTCACAAATATGCCTGGAGGTGCATTGTACACTGGCGGTCTGACGTGATCTGGCAAGTAATTTATTTTTATCGGTCCAGGTCTCGGTCTAGTAATAGGTTTACCCGTTACTATTTCCGGTACTCTCGTTGCGCTTTCGGTCGCTTCTTGTGTAGTTTTTTCGTATTCGTCTGTGTTATTACTAGATGCAACTGGTGTAGGTAAAACAGCAGGTTTCGTTGTCAAAGCGGGCTTGCCTAATAGCGCGTGCACATGCTCGGGAGGAGTTGAGTGTGGATTACTAAAGGAAGCCCCTACAGATTCAGTCTCTAAGTAATGGGGTTTTGGCCCATATGCATATGGGGGTGGTGGAATAGGACGGCTGTATTTATATGTATTTTGTTTATAAGGATAGGTCAGTCTTTTCTGTTGGTCACTGGGAGAACCTACATATCCTGCTTTTGAGTATGCAGAGTATGGTGATTGACTATGGGCAGGGCCATGAGGTCCGTATGGAGGGTTATAAGGTATTATTTTCCTGTGCCTTGGAGGTATGTATTCATCATCTTCGTCAGAAAATAACGATGAAAATAGTCTTTGTAGTCCGTTTTTATACTGGCGCCCTTCATTGAGTGCTGTATACGGTGGAGATATATTTCTGTGGAACCACACTACTCTTTGTGGTCTATGGTTTGTATGAACAACTTTACGATCCTCTTGAGGCATATCGACTACTATTTCTGGCGTAGATTCTCTGACGGTGAAAGTTCTTACAATATTTGCGTGAGGTTTCCGTTTCTCTTTTTGTAACTGAGACACTACAAAGAAAGTGAGTTCATAGTGATACTTCCCTGGTAAAGTTTCCACCTCTCGCTGTCGGACTCGTTTAACTGACCATATTGCCTTGATGCCCTTCTTACACTTATCGTCCGTGCATTTCTCCTTATCTAAATCGTCCTCGGTAAAACGAAAACGACCATTTTCCTGCATTAACCGACCTTTTGCTATTATGGTGACGTCACCCTGAGTTACGAAGTCTTCGGTCTCTATTCGGTTGAACGGTGCTGTCTTTATTTTGTCCCAAAGATCACGATCATCGTTTTCGGATGCGGCATAGGAGATAGGTTTGCTATCTGGTGCTGTGGCATCTCCTTTGGCAATAAGCTCGTCAATTTTGTCGCGGACTAGTGTGAGATAAACGCTGTGTCGCAAGGCATCCTCCCAGTAGCGCGCGGGCATAGCGACTTGTGTTGCTTTCGGTAATGCGCTGTTTGCCTCCTCATGACTCCGGGAGTCGCGCACCTCGTGCCACTCATTCAGCGGAATGGGTGTCGGTCTGAAGTCATCGTCCGCCGAACTTCCTTCTCTTACCTGTAAAGTAAAGTAAACAGCAAAATGTCACATGTCTTTACTAACGAATGTTAATTATGATTAGAATTATACACCGCGTAAAAAATTGCGTTCGAAAGTAAAATATAATGCAGGGGAAAGTGGCTTGGCGTGCTGAGTGGGTTGCGTGTCTTACGAGACAACCCCCGGATCGAGTTTCCAATCGACTTATTCCGAATAAATTTCTTTGTGTCCGTTGCTGTGTTTATAATAACCGAGAATAATAGAATGAAACCGATTATAAGTATTTTATTAAAATGTCTTGGCTCAAGTTATTATGACCAGTTTGATAATGTTTATTGAGACTTGCAGCATACGCATTTGTGTACATTTTATTGAAATCAAATAATTACAACATAAAAAATCTAACAGCCCTTTGAACTGCATTTATGTGTGTCGAAACTAATCCATACATACAATGGTTTATCTAAATCCATATAAAATAATTGAGTACAAAATTACGGTTGTGAAACTCCCACGAGACGGTGGGTTGCTTCACATCGCGAAGGCTGGGTATTCTTTACGCGATTGTAAAGTTAACATGCGGTAATTTAACGCCTACGCCAGATTGAAAGCTTTCAGGTGGAAAGATGCTATCAGGGCTTTGCTGTCTTTCGATCGGTCCCTTATTATACGGTCGGTACATTATTGCTTTTTTTATTATTAGCATAATTTTAATTTCTCATAAATTCATTTATTGGCTATTCATGTTTGTATCGTGCCGCAATGAGGCTAATGTTGTTACGAAACACTATAATCACTCGCTTATAGTCCCCTCGGCCATTTTCAGGAAAACACTCACAACAAGTTCTATACTTTTTTTCCATTTATTATTCAAAACAAAATCATTTACAATGGTTCTTTAGTCTAACCTGCCCACTGTAATCCCTTTAACGGATTCATGCGTAGGCTACAGTCATTGCATGGGATAATGTGCTTTCTTTTTAGAATAAATATTAAATTTTAGAAAAACGTATTTAAAGAAAGAAATTACAATAAATAATAATATTTTAAATTTGATGTTACGTACACTGGTATATTAGTAAAATCTCGGGTCTTTAACTTTTTTATTTTAGGTGTAATTTGAAAGTAAAAAAAGTGTCTCTTCAAATTCAATGATCAATGAGTTAATTCCAACCAATGAAGATTTGTCGAGTGATTGGAGGTTGATTTAACGTTTATGTAAAAACCGTAAATCTAGCAGAAATATTTTCTGCTTTGTCACAAAATCTAGAAAAATATGCGTTTAGTTTAATTTCGATTATTATCAGTAAAGGTTGAGTAAGTTGCAGTTAAGATAATATGTTGGTACTGGGTACTTGATGTAACGAGCTGGTGTCCGCAACTCGACGCCAAGACGCGTGTTAAAAGGCGTTAATTTAAGGTTTACTTTATTTCTAATTTTTATTATTTAAATATAATCGTTTCTATATTATATTCTCATTTTTTTGTTCCATTTAACGCCGGTGTGTACAGTTTTGACCTTGATACCTAGGCGCAAAGTAAAATTTTCGAATGAATTAAACAAAATAGCTTCTTGCGATTAATGAGTTTGTATTTGAATTTGCGTTAGTTTCATTAAGTGAGACATTGGCCTCCATTCCAGCTTTGTTTATCTGTTTCCCAGGCAAGTAGAGCATTCGCTTAGATTATATCTGCACTCTTTGCGACGAATGCAATGAACATTATGGTTTACGTGAAATGAATTACATGACTTGGTACCTTAGTGTCGACGACAAGACGGTAGTAGATTGAAATGTAAATTGAGACTATTATAGTCTGCCTTTTTCGAAGACGGAGTAGAATGACCTTTGTGGGGTTGCCAGTTTTCAAAACATTTAAAATAGTCGTATGATTGTTATCGATAGTTTTATCGGTAGATTGTGAAAGAATCCCGAAAATGTCTGAATTGTGAACGTTACGACTTCCTAATGATTACTAATTGCGTTATTGCCTTCTTCGTTCATATTTTGACACTAGTATCAAAAGAAAATTTTTGTTCATACACATTTTAACAAGAATATGAGAATCTGATTATCTATATTGAATGAAAAACTTTAAAATATGTCCCCTCTTTGTATTTTTAATAAACATAATTCTAAATACAGTATATGTATTTATAAAGTCACAAAATTGACAATTCAACTTTACTTACAAATTAACACAAGTCCAGCAATTGGACGAATAATAGGCCGATGTTGATTCAAATGAAACAAATTTGAGTATTTATTGCACGCGTAACCAACATGCAGTACATACCATATGTATCGACTGCAATCACTAGCTTCTTGTAAGCGGGCAACACTTTTTCCCAATCAACTGCCATTTACTCCATATTCAAAATAGACCATCGAGTATATAATGAAAAAGACAAACTATAGAACGCTGGGTGTGCTAAATTTAGCGCGTATTAGGCAACTTTAAAAAAATCACACGACTGCTGCGAAACCAAAAGGAGAGTTCTGATTTAAGCAGCGCACGTATGTGTAAATGTTCAACTGTTCTACATTATAAGTATCTACAATGTTCTCATAAAGTTTAGATAAAGCATAGAATACTAGAAGTCCTCGTTGCATACCCCGCGTTAACCATAAGCTCAATAAAAATGGTTTGTGAATATATTGTAAAATGTTGTGTGTAAATGATGAGTGATTTGTAGCATGTTACTAGCACAATTTAGAAACTTGACGCATTTAGTTTGTCAAGTGATCGACTATCTCAGGGTTTCCTAACCTTTTCCTATTCATGGACCCTTCTCAAAATATCAAAGAACCTACGGGCCCTTTCCGAAAAGATAAAATACCAGGTTTGGCTTTTACTAGCTTATATAATTTGCGATTAATCTTTATTTCATTACATATGAATAGTTAGTGCGACGGTTGCTATTCTATTATGTTGGGTAGGCTCGCCACAGACCCCGGCGTTCATTATACGGACATGTACCACATCCACACTTGACATGTGGTCCATGGACCACAGGTTAAGAAACCCTGGACTATCTACTTACTATTTATATAGCAATTGCCAATCGGGATCTCCATTATTAATATCACCATAAAGTTCACTTTAGTACATATTGTTACAAAATAAGTAAAACTGAAATTGCGTTTAATGAATAGGTTAGTTACCCGATAGCTATTATTGAATTTACTTTTATTATGGAGGCGAATTCTGCACCGTGTGAATCCCTACATGTAGGTAACATTCGCAATGAATTTTGAACAGCCGTTTGGTCTACAGAGATATCGGACGTATTCATATTTGTCTAATTATTTTAAAAATTAACATTAATTAATTCAACTTAGTTCAGATTTGGATCCGACAACTTCTTATGTTGTGTTTTAGATTATATGTAGTGTATTTTGTATTGTTATTATTGTATACTGTTATGTTTATATTTATTGGCTGAACCACTTTTATTATAGTCAACTCTCGCACCGTAAAAGTTATTGATGAATATACTGAACGTAGCCCTAAAGGGATGCCAGCAAATAAATTAGAATGCTGTATCATTTTAAAAAGTGTGCGTAGTTTTTGTTGTTTAAAAGATTAAATAATGATTTCACCTAGAAAGAAATGCATACAGTAAAAAATGATTACCGTTACACTCACGTCCAAATGCACATTTGTGCAATAACGCTCATAAGTAATGTAATGCCTCTTTAAGTAACTTCGTATCTCAAATTTTTCTTCTAATTAGGGTAGTATTATAGTTGAAGTCATGTTAAATTTAGAGAACATTGCTGTATGAGAGAAAGAAAGAGAACATTGTAGTACAAAGTAAATGAAAAGAAAACGAGAGTGTTATTTGAAGTTAGGCGCTACGGTCCGTGCGCAAGTGGGTCTAGATCGCGAGAGCCATAAGCGAGTAGAAAAAGTGATAATACGTTGTAAATGATGTAATCGTTGTAACAATAAGGCGCTTTATATATCGCACACTGGCTTCATCAATGACACAACTCAAACATTGCAAATGTGGTCGGTAAAAAAGTGGCGGTATGTTTGTCGCCTAATCTCTAGTCTAAATAAAAGCTACAATTTATCAAACTCCCTATACAATTACCACAATACTCACTCCAAAAGGGCCTATATACCTAACTATATAATTTTAATAATAATCGACGTGAGGTTTTACATTAAGGAAATAAAGGTGATGTGTGATTTATGGGCACGTCTTCTCGTTTCAACAATGTTGATGGTAGTGATGACGGATAAAACAAACGTAAGAATAGTGAAGGAAAAGGAATTCGAGAACGATTCAAAATTTAAAAACTAAGTGGCCAGGGACCAGAAAAGAGGACAAAATGGTGGGATAACGATGAAGGAAGGCAGCATCGTCACATGTTTTCGAATAAGAACCGTACCAGTGTTACTGACATTTGATGACAGACTGATAATGTATAATGTTGTCTTAATTTTTTATTTTACGGAAAAGCAGGGAGATGTCCCAAAAACAAAAAAAAATACTAATGAATTTGCTGAAGCCTATGTGCGACATGTAGCATTTGTTTTGAAATTTGTTGTATTTTGGAATTATTATGTTAGGGAAATGGTAAAATTGTCATTTTTGTAGCAGTGAAAAAGTTCGTCCAGGGAAGTTCTGCCGCCAAGCAGTAATGTGACCATTACTGCGTTTCGGTTTTGAAGGGTAAGGGGTGTTGGTGAAATTACAGGCACATGGGACTTCTTGACCTGTGTCTGTGACGGGCGCAGTGGCAGTGCCCCTCAGATCTTTGCGATTTAAAGCTCTGAGCGACACTGCACCTGTTATGGACAGGCGTGTTGTTTATCACCAAGCGTACTAATTTTTCGTTCCATCACTTTGTATCATGAAAAAAAAAGTTAATGTATGTCCATTCCTTTTGTGTGCAAATTTGTACCGCGCTGAAATTACTATAGCCGTTATTTCTTTCGGTCACCGATTTGAATGACCGAAATTAACATAACAATATCTAACACGACATTATCCCATCCACACAAGTCTACGACTAGATTTCAGAATTAAGGCTTTTAAGGTGCATTAAGTCATAACACTGACTCCTAAACAATTAAAACCGAACGCGGTTTCTTATAAATTTTGTTGGAACCATTACGACTACTTTATCTGCATGAAACTTTACTATATTAGAGACATGAATCGCGTATTTAGCATTAGAGAGAAATTATGAAAATTATTGCGGCACAAAAGATATTCGTTCATCTGAAAATAAATGACAACACAAGTTTGTTTATATCTAACACTTGCCTGTTTTCTATTGTTACTATTCACTAACATTTAATCTTGTCACACGATGACATAAAGTTGGAGAAATTGTTTGTCTTTCACATAATTATTGATACAAAGCATTAATTGTGGCAAAAATGTTTCCTGACTTCTTCCACTACTGTGCTGAAGGGATAAATGACGACCAAACGGTTTGAAGCACATTGGATAGCGACCCACATCGACTTCCCTGGCTATAACTCAGGCTAATATAAAGAAGGGTTGAAACAATAATATTACTGAGCTACATTCGAAAGTAATATAATAATAATAATTAGTGTTGCGCCCCAATTATCAGCACGTATTCGTACGTCTATAGCTGATGTACGTCTTTAGCTGACGGTATCAGCGGTGCACTGCGTCGTTCTTATCTGCATTACACTACTGTTGCACGGTCCATAGTATACGGAAGCACAGTGCGGATAGGTTTATTTCAGTTGGCCACCACCCGCTGAATTCCGGTGGAAAATGCAACAATACAAAATTAAGTTCATCTACCGCCCCTTATGCGATTGCTACTCGCGTAATTAGGGTAGCCAGTTCATCTACCGCCCCTTATGCGGTCGCTACCCGCGTAATTAGGGTAGCCAGGCCTTAAAACGGTATAGACGGTCGTTTGGGTAAAAAAGCCCGACACCCTATATTTTAAAGATTTTATGAGTTTTAACGCAATAACTTTTTAAAATATAAAACCAGGCTTTTTTGATAATTCATCAAAAAATCTCAAATTGTAATAAGTAAGTAAAATTGAATTAAACACCTGATTTATTCAATTTTATTGTTATTTTTATTATTAATAATCTATCTAGCCAAATTAAAGAAAACAAAATAAAAGTTGGTCAAATATCAAAAGCTGAACAATTTGGACCGTCTAATTTGACCGAATACGTATCCAAAAAGTCTACTATGCCAGTATTATCCAGACGCCTGGCAACGCTACGCTAAATTATGTGACATCTTTGTTGTCGTTATTTTGATGTTTAAATTAAACAACAAACTGGTATATCATTTAAGTACAGTACAACTACTCTCTACCAACTTACTTTTTACTACCTATTCGGGAGTTAAATTTTGTGATCGAGCTCCTGTTCGCTATTTTCACATAATTTATGAATTATGGATTTCTTCGAGCCTATTATAATTAAGTATAGAACGCAGAACTCACATTACTGTTTGGTAAAAATAGGTAAGGTGGTAGTACTTCCATGGTCGATCTCTGCTACTGCTAAGAAAGACACTTTCAATGTTTTATACTTTATTCTAGTAGGAATCACAATTTTGTGCGATTTCATGTAAAAGTTTGTCGACAATTGGATTTCAACTCACATTGAATGAGTTTTGAATTCTTTTACATTTGCACTTCCGAGGTTATATACAAAATTATTGATAAGACGTGCTGCCCAGTAGTAGCGATTTGTGGGACATAATGATGGGCTCTAGAAATTTTGCGATATCAGAGGCCACCTCTAAGCCGAAATTTCATCAATGAAATGATGATCAAATTTCGACAAAATTTTGACAAATGATTGATCATTCGCGCAACATACAAGTTTTTCAATGTTTATTTAGGAGTTATTTGAGTGAGTATATGTATTTATATTAGCGTGAATAAAATGAATGAAATATTACTACGGTACTTTAAAATTATTTGAAAACAGTCGTTACGTCCCGCCCTCCGATGAGCACAGGTGATCTGACAGACGCAGTACATTTTAATGGATATTTATATGTACACACATGTTTGGAAATACTTTATTGTCCCAAAATTATATGTAATGACAGTTAGTTAAAAGTGTCAAAGAGAGAGGTTCCCAAACTTTTTTGGCTTTTCTAATAATGAATTTGTTTACGATGCATCAAGTTCGAATGTGCGTTTGACAGTTGACACTGTGCTAGTGGGAACCTTAAAAGAATATATGTTATGTTTGTAGATACATTTATCTAACCGAATATCTTGTTTGTTGTGAAATGTTTGAGTTAACTTGTTTGTTTGTTTGTTTGCTTGTTTAAGGTACTTAAGGTACTTCATAGGTAATTTATAATGTCTATTATAAGAAAGTATTATGTATTTACATAGATACTAATTTGCGAAATGTGGATAATTTCATTTATGGAAAGCCAGAATTCTGGTCACCACCTGCCTAAATGCGTTCCACTCTTATCAATTCATCAATGTAGGAATCATTGGGTGTACAAAATTTAATAGTAAAGAGTTCTGTTAAGGATCTGTTTGCGTGCTGTAAGTAATGCAATGCCTACTTATTTATAACTTTTCGCAATCACTCAATCGTCTCAAATGAGTGATCTTAAAGCATTCGCGAATTCCTTCGCTCATTTATGAATAGCATCTTAAGAGATATTTTCTCTAGATGATATTATCGCTCTTAACATGTCTGTCAGAAATAATTGATCTCAAAAGACGTTCGTTAAAGTCCATATAAATTAACGTTGTGCGCGTATTTATTGAATAACTATAAATATTATATAAATAATGTTCGATCGTCACAGTCACCAGTAAAATGTTAATAGGTGCAGTTTTAAAAATTGAATTGTTGCGTTTTTACGATTTCATTTTAGTGTTAAAAGAGAACTGAGCTTAAGGCTAGGCTACGAAGTTTTTATTGTACCCAAAAACTGTTAAAAACTAATATAATAATTTTACACAAATATGTAGATTTGTATATCACAGACGTACATTTTAAGTGTACAATTTAGACGTATCTAATTGTTTTAATATCGCAGGAATTATTAATTTATTGACACGGTTGATACAATAGCAGTAGTAATGAGTGTTTACGTGTAATATTTTTTATTACTATTATAAAATACTTACAATTAAGGTAAAGAACAAACAAATAAGTGCGGATCGCATTGTAGTTCACTACACAGCACAACACGTTTGAACGACTGCAAAAGGCGTGTGTTATTAACGCGTGCGGCGCGGGCGCACCGTGCTACGCGAACTGAGAATTGCTACGCAAAACTCGTACTGCCTGCTTCTCTTAACTGGAGGGAGGAAACTACGGCCACCACTGTCTACTCAGTACTGAAATTATTGTATGCCGTGAATAATACAACGTATTCAGTATTGTTGGCGAAGTTTGAAACCTGCAAAATCCTGCTTAACCCCAACATCTTCAATAAATTGAAGACTATGTGACACATTGCAGAACTTAACCAGTAATTTTATAAAAAAAAAAATTGGTGTTTCTCGGCGAGTAATTAAAATTTTCTGTCGATTCACCGCTCATTATAGAAATATATTTACTTATATAAAATATGTAAACACCCTTATTCGCCTACTCTGTATAAGAATTAACAAACGAAAAATACAAATGTATAAGAAGTAATTCTTATTGTAAAAATTATTTTCTAGTTTTGAAGTTTTTTCTCAACATTAAAAGAAATGACGTTACACAGGCGTAAACTTATTACAACCGTGTGGAGTTGCAATACAGAAGATTTTATCTGGAGTCGTTGCACCATGTAATGTGCTCAACGGATTGCAACGTGCATTAAGGAACTGTCGTAACCTCCTTCCGTGATATTTGATACGATAAATAAGCGCTATAAGGGTAATAAACAAAAAATATTACCTACAGCTCAAAGTGCGAGAAACCGTTAAAAGTTTCACACAAGTTTTGAAGGTCTGTGAACATGTGAAGTTTTCTCTGTCTGCACTGTCTGAGAAGGTATTCAGATACCTGACTCGATTCCTAAAACCATATTTTGAATACCTCAGATTTGGCAAATCCGATCCGATTTTAGTTTATTCCAATTTTTTGCCAGTCAATATCCTGGCGCCCTCTTGTAGGCACACGATCAAAATGGAATAGGTACTTTCAGTTATATTTTCCTCAGCGATCGAAAATTCGTGTGCAAATGGTGCAATTATAAATGATGTTGCAATAACCGCTTTACTTCGCTTGCGTCGCGAGGGACGTAGGCTCTTTGGAGGCGTTGCGAGTAAAAAAGCTAAAACTCTGCGCTTGTGTGTTCCCTGCACCATAAATAAAGCCGGCCCTGGACATACAATTTATAACAACGAACATCGGATCAATTTCAGCACCTCCTCTGAGTGTGTACTATATGTATATACATAAATAGAAACATATTCATAATATAATTGATCATCATCATCTCAGCCCGTTAACACCCACTGCCTCCTCTTTTGCACACCAGCTCAGTCGGTCCTGTGCGAATCTCATCCACAATCTTCCGGCCACCCCGACGATATCGTCTGACCATCTAGCAGGTCTGCTTTAAGGACGTCTCGCTCCTACCGGGTACCACTCAGTGACCGCCTTGGTCTATCGGTCGTTATCCCGGGTAGCGACGTATCCTGCCCATCTCCATTTTAGGCTCGCGATCCGCATACCGACGTCTATGATTTTTGTTCGCTATCGTATCTCCACTTTGGGTATACGGTATATGGCGCGCTCCATTGCCCTTTGAGCCACTCTGATTTTGTGCATGTATTCCTTTATCGCCATAATTGATAAATTCGTATCATTATTTAAGCATACGATATCCGCTGAAAAACATGCACAAGTGAAATCCTATCGCGTGCATACTTTCCATCTCGCGCACTTTTCGCCGTTTTTGCTGGCTGTCATTGCGGAACGCTCGACGCGCAATGCATGCGCACTATTGCGCACCTATTTACTTTATGACCATTTACGTACGGTTAAGCTAAAGATTTATTATTCATTAATTATGCCGGAAAGCATTAAATCCAAAGACATTTTAATTTGACAGCGGAATACAAGAATTCTTTTTGTAAAACGTTTTTTACAGGACATTGAAATGAAAATTGTGGATTTATAAAATTGTAGAGTTAGAAAAAGTTTAGTACATTGTTTGCCTTTAAATGTACATATTGTCATTTTCAATTGCTATGTAACACAAACCCACATGGGGTGCGTGTTGATATTTTATTTTTCTATAACCTGGAATTCAAAACTCAATATTAATTAGACATATTTACCCACTGCATTTTAGTTAAAAATTTTTGCTGCTTTTTCCAGCTCTATTAATTGATGCATTTTCATTAGCCGCACATTATGCCTTTGCGGTTTTTAAAATATGTAGAACGCTAAATATACTGTTATGAATGTTGTCACATGCGTGTTGCGCGTGGTTGGCTAGTAAACTTATCCGCCTTTCATGTCGTCACTATTGTTTCATATTCTCTAGCGTTACACGAGTAAATA